GTCGTTGCAGTATTCTTAGAGCTATCATTGGGATGATCATAGGCATCGAAAGCCCCTTTTTCGGTGACCTGTTAGGATCATCATGCCAATCCCCTTATACCAGTATTCCTCACCACAATATCCGCCTTATCCGCTGATCCCAAGTCCTGTGCTATCACACCAGAAGTGAGCACCTAAAATTCATATAGTTATGTTAGCCCCCCTTCACACAGCGATCCCTCACAGATCCTTCCTTCTGTTCACTGTGAATACCATCCTTCCCTGCTTCACCGCTGTGATTAATCTCAACAGATCCCACACCGTCCTCAGGTGTATTAATAACAGGAGTAGGAAGTATGTGCACATCGCTCGTCGTGGTGGTAGTCTTCTGTATCGGTGTAGTAAGCTTAGCAATTAATCCAGGCCTCCTCCTCCCTTTACGCTGATCATCGTTATCAACAACATCCTCATCAGACTCCTCATCGTCCTCCTGTTCTTGCTGTTCACCTATCCCATCAGCCTCATATGAAGCTTGTCCCACTCCTTCTGGTGTAGACTCTTGTTGTTGCGCATGACTGTAAGCCTGCATGTACTGCTGCTGGGGATAGTAGTAGTAATAAGCCTGTGTCGAGGGTATGGGAACACCTTGCCCATTGCCAGCAGCAGCAGCAGTATTAGGATCGTAGTAATAATACGGAAGTTGAGGGGCAGCAGCAGCAGAGGCCGATGAAGAGGTGGCGGAGGAATCACTGTCATTAGTCCCTGCAGTGTTGTTGTAGTATAAAGGTACTGATGCCTGTTGCTGTGGAGTATTCATGCCTTGTTGTTGTTGTTGATAGTAATAGTAATAGCAAGCCATAGCATTAGGAGCCATATAACCGGGAGCATATTGTCCCTGTGCAGCACCATATAGGACCTGCGGCGTACCTTGCTGAGGCTGGGATTGCTGGCGTTGTTCCCCAGACTGCTGTTGCTGCATAGCCAACATAGCAGCTTGTTGTTGTTGTTGATAGTAATACTGCTGTTGTTGTTGATAGTATGCAGCAGTAGCAGCAACAGCAGCTTGATACTCAGACATACCACCATTTGGGTTGCCATTATTACCAGCTGCTGCAGCTGCTGCCATCGCGGCATAGTAGTTCTGTTGCCAGTATACATTCGCAGCAGCAGCAGCAGCAGTAGTCGGTCCACTAGGATCCGATTCCCCAGTGTTGCCACTACTACTCACATC